GAGTCAATTCTTGTGGTGCATATGCAAACAAAGCGATGCTATTCAGTTTATTTTTTACAAAAGAGTTCAAGATTTTATTTATTTATTATAATTTTTTTTTTTTTTTTTGCATGAACGTTAACAAGTACAAGCGTGGTGACGCGTTTTCATATTATTTCTCCGTTSCGCGTCAGGCTTAACACAGTCGTATACAGAAGTACATTTCGTTGTTATTCTGTATAAGTTGCAACTACATCTTTATAATATAAATAGCACGTGTCACGTTGTTTGTTCGCGATGGACTCCTAAACTACTGAACCGATTTTAGTAAAATTTAGCTCACTGTGTTCAGTTCCAAACAATACTAGTATAAACAGTTTACATTGAAAGTTTATTTTTACAAAGTAGTTCGATATTTTATTTATTTTAGCAAAAGTTGGAATTTAATTGTCCGGGTTTTCTCAATAGTCTTTCTTACACGTTGTGTTTCGCTACTCGTTGTCATTCTTTGTCTACTTGTTGTCTTTTTGAAGTCAGTGTTGCATGTCATTGTTCGTACGTATGTATGCCCACTTCTGGTATGTCGCTTCTTCGTTTCTATACACGGCCGTCTCCGAACGACGTTCACTATTTATTTATGAACTCGGACACTGTTGCCGTTCGATTCGGTTATTCATGTTCACCTACATTCTCGACATTATACCGAACCTGATACAACTTCTTAACAATTTTGTACGACCCTAGGAACTTTTTCTTAATCATTAATGCGGGGCCAAATTATGTATACTTTATAGCTACTAACTCGTTCTCTTCATACGTTTGTWCGGCATTTAATTTTTTCGATTTTCTTCTTGTATAGTCTAGCCATCTCTCTAAACTGAAGATTTGAAGACACGCTTTTCTAGAGGAGTATTGGGTACATTTCAGCTGAGTTTGCTACTGTATGTGCTTTGAGAACCAAAGTAATTCAAAATATTATTGACTTCTTCATAGATAGATTCAAAGCCCTTTTTCGACGTTTKAAGCTCAAAGGTGATCACCGGCCACACACTGCCAATGGGGGCGGAAGCAAAAGTCAAAAAGCAGCAAGTTAACGGCTACTGCATTGGAAACGTTGCAGAACTGTGATGTAGACCTAAACCCCATAATTCATAACTTCTTCACATATTCTGCACCCTTCCTGTGACGAATGTGAGCTCTGAACGCTCTTCTTCGAYACTTCGCTGCATAAAAACGTGGCTGAAGACGAACATGCTTCAAGATAGATTGATCGGTCTTGTGTTGCTGCACACGCATCATGACATTGAAGTCACTGCAGAAGAAGTTCTCGAAATGTTCTCAAAACTTATCCTACGTCGTTTTGTTTTGTGAAATTTCTCTACTCAATACAGGAACTGACTACAGTATTTTACATTGAAATAAAATATGAAATCTGCACGTCTACGATTTAYATGGTGTTTTTCTATTTAGTAGGATTTGATATTAGAAAGTCGATTTGAAAGAAKATTGCATATTTCCTTAAATACATATAGGTATTATGAGAACTAAATATCCATATGGAATTTATCTCATACAATGAATGAAGACACACCCTGTTTAACAACACTGCAATTATACAAGAAGAAGGATAAAAAAGACATGCAAATGAGAATACAAAAAGCATAAAAGAAGGTATAACCACGTCCGTCAACGGCGGTTATAGCTGAGTTTACAACAGCGCGCCAGTCGTTCTTCCTTTTCGCTACATGGCGCCAATTGGAAATTGCAAGCGCTGAYAGGTGCTTCTCCACAACGCAGTGGAGGTCTCCACGTAATTTCGCATTGTTCCATCGAATATTCGTCGTGGCCAATGTGCAAAAGACCATAAATCTTTCGCAGAACCTTTCTCTCGAAACCTCGCAACGTCCACTCATCAGATGTTGTGCCTCTGCAGAATAAGGGAGGACGGGAATAATAAGTGTTTTATAGAGTTTAATTTATGTTGAGAGAGGACTTTACTTCTCAATTACCTACTCAGTCCAAAGTAGAACCTAYTTGTAAGAGTTATTCTSTGTTGGATTCATAATGACATTGKTGCTGCTTTAATACTGGTTCCAAGATAGRTGAAATTATCTACGACTTCAAAGTATSAGTGTCAATAGTGACGTGAGAGCCAAGTCGCGAGTGCTATGATTGTTTSTTTGATGACWGGCAGGACAGGACTCTTTTCCCGGGTCTTTTTCAAGATTTGGCGCATGGTAAATGTCTSGTCAGTTGTCGATAGAACCACAGWTTTTCGCCGCCGTATTTGAATAGCTCGTCCGGCAGTCCATCGGCCTCCGGTGCTTCGTTGTTCTACAGACGGGTAACTGCTATACGAACTTCTTCAAGGTGRGGCAATGGAACGTCTGCCTCATCGTCATCGATTGGGGAGTCGAGAGCTTGAAATGACGTCCCACACTTCCCTTATACTGAGTTGCAAATCGAGTATAAAATCGTTCGGCTGTCTGTTGTGATTGCAGCTTATCGTCGTCCAACCTTTTTTCTGTCTGTTGACGTGCGTTTTTTGCTGTACAAGACAGTGGTCATATGTCACTAAAGTGACTGAATACCATAGAAAACGCTTCCGGTCATATAGCACGATGGGCTTTAGAATTACATTTCTTTTAACAGGGAGTATCTCAACCTAGTAGTGGATGCAGTGTCCCGACAGCCACTAGGGTCCATAAGATAAACGACGACGATTACGACACAATGCAGTTGGTGGCGAAAGCGAGTACATGGAGAAGGCCAACTCTCTCGCCACATCCCATGTCAATCACAGGATGAAGAGACTGTACCCTGGAAGCTATACGTACCTAAACACCAACACCACCACAAAGCTAACCCACCACAAAGCCAGCAGGAGTCCAACCAGTAGAAGAGCATCATAACACATCAGCCCGACCAGTAATGATGCGTCTATATCAGACGATTCCACACTACAACGACAATCACCTCTCTTCAGACTAAGAGACTATACAACCAGAGTACTTATTACCAACGATTCATAACAAATTAAGCCAGCGTACGTAGTAGTCTATATGAACTCATGAAAAGTAACAGAGTCCGTAAGTGGAATAAAAAACAAGAAGTGGGTTTCCAAATTCTTTAGTRCCGGTTAAGTACTGCGCGAATGTTAGCATGCCCGGTCTAAGGATCGTCTTTTATTTTGAATACGGATGCTAGTAGGAGGCGTTCCTTCTCAAATCATTAACGCGCATGAGAAAGCGGTGACGTGTTATAGCGAGACAGTAAGCAAGCCGGAGAGAAAGTACTGTGTAACTCAGAGGGAACCACTGACATCGGTAAAGCGCATTAAACATGTTTGTTCATTTATCATTTTATTAGGTTGGTTCTTGCCAATCAGTTATGGYGGGGATCGCCAATTGTGCCGAGTGCATTGTAGCTTAAGGACCGAGATCCAGGAGTCACAGTCATATGAATTCGGGTGTGGCTTTTGAGCGAATTTCCGTGGACGTAGTTGGTTCATTTCCTACCAGTAAATTAGAAAACAAATAGGTTTTGGTAGTCATGGACTATGTCAGCAAATGGCCAGAGAAGAAAAAAAAAAAACAGAAAGCCTAGTGACAAAGCCATATGGGAACAATGGAATCGTTTAATGTTGGTGTCATGGACTATGTCAGCAAATGGACAGAGGTATACGCAATTCCTATCCAAGAAGCAAAAAGAGTAGCGGATGTATTTATCTACGATTGGGTTTCGAGATATAGTTTTTCAATAAAATTATAAATAGATCCAGAGAGTAATTTTGAATCAGCTATAATTCAAAATATATGCCAGGAACTGGGTAAAACCTGTAAAACTGCACTAAATCTGGAGTTCCATGGCATGGTAGAACGATTCAACTGCATTTTGGACGAACATTTAAGGATAGTTGTGTTCAATTATCAAAATGATTGGGATATCTATATATTCTTGTTCCTGATAATTTATTGCTATGCTATACATGAAACAACAGGGCAGACTGTAACAAGTGTAAATTTTGGTAATGACGATTAATTTGAAATTTGGAATCAACGCCCCCCGGCGGACGGAACGTAAGGAAGTCAACAGCATTCTAGAAGACGAGATGTGAGACATACAATACACAAAATTGAAAGCAAAATATGACGAGGCAATGAACTCTGAGGACATTAAAGAAAGAGATTGGGTATTGTTTTATAATCTAAAACGAGTGAACAGATGTCTCTCAAATTTCAGTGTAGTAGGGAAGAATCATACCAGGTTATTAAATGACTCAACGATGTAATGAWTCGCATAAAGACCATCGGAAGACCTAGGAATAAAATAAAGACAGTTCATCTGGCCTCCAGCATTCGGTACAGCAAATATGTCTAATCGCGAGGGTAGCGTGGCGAGGACGAACCTGAATAATCGATTGGCAATGTTTTCGTAAAAATCTACTATATAAAGACTTCCGGATTATGCAGCAGCAAAGTTCTAATGAGAGTGTTGCTTAGTAAAGAACTGTAAATAAGAATTTGTTTTGACTCGAATAACGAGTAATAAGCGTAAAGTTTGAATTAGCAATAAAAACAAGTGTATGGTCATTAAAATGGGACTTTTTTTTAACAATCCAGTGATTGAACTCTAGAGTAAGTTACAAGATACATATGTATGTTATCGAGAAATACGGTAAACAAAATGTTGGTCAACCACAGTRCCACAGTGTTGTAAACGATTCGAATATAATTCAAATGATTTTTTTTTATTATTTATTGAGTTAATATCTATAATACTGGATTTCAAAACAAACAAATCGTAATAGCGGCTTTATTTTTGATTACTTTAGTATTCCTCTTTAGTAAACTCTTATAATTACGTCTTAAAAGCTATAATGAATTAATGTAAGATATAACTACAAAGATTGCATATAGTTTCAGATTTTATGATAATACAATTTTTTTTATATTTTAATATTAATGTTTGGTATATACTTACTTATGTATGTATTTATTACTTGATCTTGAGTCCCACAGGAACTATAAATAGCATTGACGCTTATGTTGAATTTTGGACGAAAAATCCGTGGGTGTTGGGATCGGTTGCGAACAACAACGTTTGGACGAGCTTTATATTAGCTAATCGAAATATGAGACGTTTTCGACGAAAACTACTTCCAAAAATGTATCCACAAGCTCCACGAATGTAATTAAAAAAGAATAAATTAACCTTAATATCTTACCAGTTGGTCTTTACATAGGAATATTTTAAGTGAGTCAGATGTTATTAAAGGCTTTTGTGTTCCAGCACCAACCGTGGATCAAGATATCATCGATCGTAGTCAGTTGTATTATTGGGAGGAGAAGAACGAGAGACCCATTCAATATAACAGTTATTTGACGTTTTCGTAAAGCAACCCTTACAATATATTTGAAACAAATTTTACTTTAAGGAATAATTTTCCATGGTTTAACTCGTAGAAACGATCTGAATTATTCCTTAAAATAAAGTTGAAGATAGTTTTGCTTTCTCAAAGTCTAATTGTGACGAAAGCGATCTAGATGAAAGAAAAATAGTTTCCATTTGAATGCAAATATAAATTTTGATTTTTTATCAAGAATAGTAGAATACAAAAACTTTCTGATGAGTATTTCATGCTATCCTCTAGATATACTTACATATGTTTATTTGCTTTATATCTTCCAGCGAGCTTAAAAAAACTTTATAAATTGTATTTTTTTTGTTTTCAAAATGAAAATACAGGAATCGAAAATAAATTTTTTAAGTGGTTGACACTTAACATTTCTTGGTATATTGAACGAAATTTTACTATCAAAACTTCATAAAAACTTCACTTCTTTTGTTCATGACCTCTTGACAGTTGACACAAAGAAATGGTTACCAAAGATTTGGCGGYGATAACTGCCTTGGGAAACCGCAATCTTGTTATAATTCAATGAGATAAAAACCGGGCTTATTCTTAAGAAGCTGCTTTTGTAAAAATAAATTTCATTACACTTTACCTACTTTTTCATATTTGATTTTTTTGCAATTATGCATTATTGAAAAGTTAATTCATTCTATACCATACATTAATTTTAATTGTGGTTATTTATTATCTTGTATACTATAATTCTTGATATTTAATGGCTATAGCAATTTTTTACAAATTTCTTATGAAACGATATTCATACCGAAAATTGATTTTGATAKTAGTTGCAGAATTTTGAATTATCGGAAGAAATTAAAGAAACTATTGAGAAAGCAAATTTTGTGTAAGATGTTTAATTCATCTTTTAACTTGGTTTATATCTCTTAAATATTTCAGAAATCCCGCAATCGCTTTTTTGCTTTTGTGTTGGTATTTTTTGATTTTAATACTTACTCAGTTTGCATGTACTCGTCGTTTATTACTAAATTGGCCACGTTTATTCTCATTTGGTTTATTTTCTTCTGATGGTCCTATGGAGGAAAATGTAGATGAGACTTTTTTTCGAATAACTTTCAAAGCAAAAGGTTGGGACAAAAACATGAAGCCTATTCAGCACATATTTCCCGCTAGCCCTGATAAAATTTTGGTGGGGCGGGTAAGTGGCGCAAGCCCCTTTTATGGAATAGCATGTGTCTGTCTTCTAGTGTCTGCTGTAACTATATTTAATGAGCATTCAAAACTTCCTCATCGGTTCGTTGAAGTTCACATTTATTAAAAATATAAGTATCTAAAAAATTAAAAGTTTACTATTCTTTCCTTAGGGGTGGAGTTTATACACCAGGAGCAGCGTTTGGCCACACTAAAATTATAAATGAACTTAAAAAGTATGAGCACGGTTTATTCTTTGAAATAATTAGCACGAATTGAATTCAATAAAATTTTAATTAATTGTATTTTATAATTGTTAAATAAATTGAAAATACAAATTATTAATGTACTTAAAGAAATAAATAAAAGAACATGCTATAAAAAATATAAATATACTAATATTTCACAATTACCTTAGTATCTTTTAGCACACATGTAAGTTTCACACAAGGCTTCCTGTTCTTTTACAAATAAATAATTTTAGTTTCCGATACAAATCACAAAAATGGATAACAAGAAATAAGATAAGTGTATAGAAATTAAWTAGGAACTATTATTTAACAGGCCGTAAAGGAATTCAAGAGTAAGTTAGAAGATAGACGATTTATCGAAGTTGTAAGCCAGACCATACGTGAAATGAGCAAAAGCGGCGTAATCGAACCATCAGCGACTTCGTGGAGTTCATATCTGGTAGCATTGACGACGCGCTGCGCTCGTTATCAGGCATAAAATGGTTCGCAACGCTAGATTTGAAGACTGGTTATTAGCAAATGGTAGTGAATGAATGGTACAATAAAAGAAGGCTTTCAGCATTGGAGATAGTCTATGACAATTTACCGTAATTCCTTTTGGATTATGTAACGCACTACTAACGGTGTCAAAATAGTTGCATTGGAAGACTATATAAGAGGTATATCCATCGGCAACTTCAGTTGGCACGATTGGTTGAGAACTGCTTCTATAAAACATAAAAAGGCACATTTTAAATGTGCTATTAATGGCAATAACGTCCGATTAGGATCCGGGGAAACTTAATGTCAGCAAGAAGATCCAGATTTGAAATGTGCAATACATGGAGTGGAGATAAACAAACGTCCAATTAGAGAAGAAATAGCAGTAGAAAACTCAGTAGCAAAGGCATATTAGCACAACGRAATAGTTTAAAGTTGGTCTCTGGATGCTTGCATCGAATTTATTGGGTTGGTTCTCGCCAACCAGTTACGGTGTGGAGCACCAATTGTGCCGAACGAATTGCAGTTAAGAAGCCGAGATCCAGAAGTCATGGTCATATAAAACAGTACAATTTGAATGCTCTGTTTGAGCGAATTTCAAGATAGCTGGGAAGATGGATGGMGTCATGTGTAGGAGTTCACGCAAGTGAGGAAAATTCTCTGATCGCTATTCACTTGGGAGTAGCCAGAAACAATTCTTTTACATATGCCTCAAGCAGCTTACGACATCCGGTATAAGACCAAGTATCCATTGGGTAGCCAAAGAACATCCGTTTGAAGGCGAAACATCCCCTACATAGGGTTGTGGGCTGGGTTTGGGACCTGACACGTAAAACACGCCCCCAATGAAAAATAACAACCAGCCTCGGATGAGAGACCCCCTTTTGATGGCGACCATGGCCAACGAAATAAGGACTACGAATTGAGGGTATGCACCTGGAATGTCCGGTGCCTTAATTGGGAAGGTGCCGCTGCCCAGCTGGTCCATGTCCTCGTGAAAGTAAGGGTTGACATCACCGCYGTCCAAGAATTTACTACAATGGCCATATAAAGGAGCGCATGTTTGGTGTGGGAGTCGTGGTGGGAGAGAGACTCTGTCGCGGAGTACTTTAATCACTCCGATGTATGAACGTCTAGCCACACTCTGCATCAAATCGAGATTCTTCAACATATCGCTTATTTGCGCCCACGCCCCGATGGAAGAGAAGGACGATGTGACCAAAGATGCCTTCTATGAATGCTTGGAGCGCACGTATGAGAACTGCCCCCGCCACGATGTCAAAATCGTGTTGACGACTATAACACCATTACGGGCAAGGAAGGTATCTTTGGTGCAACAGTCGGTAAATTCAGCCTCCACGAGGAAACATCTCCAATTGGGTAAATACTAATCGACTTTGCCGGGGGCCCGAAATATGGTTATCGGTAATAGTAGATTCAAGCATAAAAAAATACATGAAGTTACCTGATTGTCTCCGGATTGAAACACCACCAACCAGATTGATCATGTTGTGATAGACGGAAGACACGTCTCTAATATTCTAAACGTTCGTACGCTCCGGGGGCCTATCATCGACTCGGACCACTATCTTTTAACAGAAAAGATTCGCACCCGTCTCTGTGCAGCAAAARACGCCCGTCAACCAACACAAAGAMTATTCAACGTCGAGAAGTTACAATCACAACAGACAACAGAACAATTTACTTTCTTTCTCTGAAAGCACTAGCCAACAACTCGGTATAAGGGAACTATGGGACGGCATTTTAAGCTACTTACGTACACCTACAAACGAAACCATAGGTTTTCGGAAAAAGCAAAAGAACAGCTGGTACCTCGCAACGATACGATCGACCACAACACGTGCGGGATGGGATAAATACTGAGAGGTGAAGAGGGATTTGAAGGCAGGAAAAGAGAGAGGCCGAAATGCGTGAGTAGGAAGAGCTGGACAATTTGGCCGACAATGCTAGAACATTCTACGAAAAAATTCKGCGACTAATAGAAGGTTTCAARGCCGGAGCATGCTCTTGTAGAACCCAAGGAGGTGATCAAGTGACAGATGCTCAAGTAGACTAAATTATGGAGGGAACACTTCTCCAGCCTACWGAATGGCAGTGAAAGCAYAACGCCAGTAGAAGGCGAACCCGATACCCGAATCGATGACGATAGTGCAGACGTTCCATTTCCAGGCCATGAGGAAGTTCGTATACCAGTTACCCGTCTGAATAACAACAAAGCAGCGGGCCAATGGATTGCCGGCCGATATATTCAAACACCGCAGCGAAGAACTGTGGCTTTAGGCCTGGAAAATTCACAACTGACCAGGCATTTACCATGCGCCAAATTTTGGGCTTGACACACACCACCATTTCGTCGATTTCAAAGCTGCTTTTGACAGCACGAATAGGAGATACGTGCCTTTATGCCACGATGTCGGAATTTGGTGTCTCCGCAAAACTAATTTGGCTGTGTAAACTGACGTTGAGCAATACCAAAAGCTCCGTCAGGATCAGGACCTCTCCGAGCCGTCCGATAGAAAGAAAATAATTCGAGCTGCAGAACTACATTGAGGTACAAATTTTCTATAAGGTTTACAGCTGCTGGCGTAAGCTGCTGATATTGATATCAYTGCCCTTAACATCCGTTCCGTTAGTTCTGAAATTACCAGACTGAATAAGGAAGCAAAGCAAATGGGTCTGGTGGTGAACAAGGACAAGACGAAATATCTCCGGTCATCAAACAAACAGTTGTCGCACTAACGACTTGGCTCWCACGTCACTGTTAACAGTCATAACTTTGAAATCATAGATAATTTCGTCTATCTTTTAAACAATATCAGCACCACCAACAATGTCAGCCTGAAAATCYAACGCAGAATAACTCTTGCCAACAGGTGCTACTTTGGACTGAGTAGGCAATTGAGAAGTAAAATCCTCTCTCGACGAACAAACACCAAACTCATTATTTCCGTTCCGCTATATGGTGTAGAGGCATAGACGATGTCAACATCTTATGAGTGGATGTTACGAGTTTTCGAGGTAAAGGTTCTTCCAAAGATTTATGGTATTTTGCGCGTTGGCCACGGAGAAAATCGCATTCGATGGAACAATGAGCTATATGAGATATACGACGACATTRRCWWWGYYAATTRRCWWWGYYAATGTCGTCGTATATCTCATATAGCTCATTGTTCCATCGAATGCGATTTTCTCCGTGGCCAACGCGCAAAATACCATAAATCTTTGGAAGAACCTTTACCTCGAAAACTCGTAACATCCACTCATAAGATGTTGACATCGTCTATGCCTCTACACCATATAGCGGAACGGAAATARTGAGTTTGGTGTTTGTTGGCATAGTTAATGTCGTCGTATATCTCATATAGCTCATTGTTCCATCGAATGCGATTTTCGAATTAAATGACATAGGCTACGCTGGCTATGTCATGTTGTCCGAATGGACGAAAGCACTCCCGCTCTGAAAGTATTCGACACAGTACTCGCCGGGGAAACAGAGGAAGAGGAAGATCTTTACTCCGTTGAAAGAACCAGGTGGAGAAGGACCTGTCTGTGCTTGGAATCTCCAATTGACGCCACCTTGCGAAAAGAAGAAACAACTGGCGCGCTGTTGTTAACTCGTCTATAACCACGTAAGCGCTTTCTACGCCAATAAAGAAGAAGAAGATTATCGTGCCACATTCTAAAGATTGTTCCCTGGGTTTATTTTAGATGCCGCACATACAATCACCAATCATAAGAAGCAAAATCAGGCGGATGTTCGAAAAWAGAAATAAAAGTTATATGGGGGCTGGGTCAAGTTTTCGCCCAATTGTATTTAGGCGCAAAGATACACATTTCTGTAATTYCCATTGATATAACTCAAATATTGGCTGATATATTCAGCATAAAAATAGCGGAAAATTCGAAAATTTTTATATAGGGATGCTCAGTGAATTATTGACACGATTCAACCCATTTTTGATGCACAGAAATACTGTTGTCAGGAAATGTTTCTGTCGGAATTTCAATTGCATATCTCGTATATCGCCCGATATTTTCGGTCAAAAGGCAACTATAAATACTAGGGTCCACATATTCGGTGAATAGGAGTTTTTTTTTGGATTTAGAGAATTTGTGGTAAAAGTGGCTTACTTTAAAGGAATTATTAGTGCAAAGTTTTTGAATCGAAGATTGAGAAGTTTTATACAAAATTTCAAAATTAACTATATTTCATAATAATGATTTTAACTAATTGTAGGATGAATTTTACTTTGATTTTCCTTTAAGAAACAATTGTTAATCTAATTTTTCTTCGCAAAACCATTTTTGCCATATATGCATTTTATTGGAAAAATGTATTAAAAATTAGTACTACATTTCTTTAGAGCAGCATACTAGCACAAAAAAATTTACCGCAGGAAATTTACTTGTACATTTCTTAAGCGTTTTTATATGAAGCTTTTACATTTCTTGAGAGCTGGATACTAAGCTTTATATCCCAATTTAATGCCTAGGTATTGTTCTTTAAAAGTTTTCAGTYAATGGCTA